TTGATCTGGGACTCTGGAGAGCTGCTCTCCATGGGTTTACCAGATTCATCACAGCCCATAACAATAGTAATAGTGGGAGTTATGATGGCGATACGATGGCTGGAAGCTCATGTGAGAGAAAATAATAGACAGGAGGCACCGATGAAAGAACAGTTGCGGAAATTAGATTGTCAAAAAGATTTCGATCTTTTTGAGACAATGTGCAAAATTCTAAACATTCCGATGGAAGTTAAGAAGATATAGGCAAGAAAACGATTGATGCCATGGTTCAGAGCTAACATGACTGCATGGTTGTACGAATATGCGAAAAAGCATATGTCGAAGCACGGCAGGGTGTACAGTGAATATCAGTTGGACATTGGAGCAGGAGCTTTCAAGCGAGCTCTCGTGACTCATCGGAATGCAGTGACCACCGCTGTGAAAAGAATTTCCAGGACGAGTGAACGTAGTGGAAAGGAGAAGGCAGAGATGTTAAAGGAGGATTTGGAGAGAAACGTGACGTTGTGTCTCCACAACAGCTTCTGCAGGAACAGAGAATCTAACGTGGATCCCCTAACTTGCTGCAAACAGAGGGTAGAAGAGCAGAAGTGTTGGAGGACGGCTTCCAGCAGCGTCAGGATAGCTAATGACGTGTTGCAAGATACGGAAACTGAGAGTGCAGAGTCAGTATCACAGGAGGAAGAAATGGAGCATTGACGGATGACCGAAAAGCAAGATGAAAAAAGAGATGAAATTAGAAGAATTTAGAAGTTTTAGAACTTCTAAACGACAAAAAAAGAAGAAAACAAAGGAGTAATGAAGAAAAAATTAAAACTCAGAATTGTTTTATGTGTGTGAAAAAACTCAAGTGAGAAACCAAGCAACCAAGTTGTAATTGAAAACTGAAACATTTAGTTGAGTTTTGAAATTGTTGCATTTATAAATTTGCATTTTGATTTTAGTTGAGTGGCTTTAGAGACACTCACTTACTATTTATTTAGGAAGGCTTAAGTGAAGGAGTATATTTAAATATTCCAGCCTGCATGACTGTTTTTAATCAGCTAGGAGAACTGATCACTTTGTGGTGACGTGGAAGGCTTGGGTAATCTCTCGAAGAGGGAAATTGTTTCATTGTTCTTTCTAACCACAGAGTTTCTTAGTTTTAGTATTCAGGACAGTAACAAGCAAGATTTCCGAAGGGAGAAGCATAGCAGGATAATTTTAGCTTGTTGGTTGGCAGGACTGTCCTGCAAGCCAACACCTTTTAAATCTAAGAGAAAAAGTTTTAATCGGGACATTGACATTGGAAGTCAGAAAATATGTTTTATCTTAAGTCATATCCTCAATGTGCAGATTAATGAAGAATTTGAAGGCTATAGTGATGTAGTATGATGCCAGTTATATTCTGCTGTGAGTCGATGTGACGTTGATTAAAAAAATTTTGTGCATTTTGTAAATTCTGTTCGATGACACTGTATCTATTTTAAGAACACTGCGTGAATCAATGAGGACATTGACCGGACTGTCCGGGGAGTATGTGACATTCGACCAGAATGGACAAAATGCAATCTCTGCAGATTTCATGTTTTTAGCAGCGAACCTTCCGAGTTAATGATTTTGAAGGATTAACGACGTTATTCGGATGATTAGCAGAACGGTGAAGGTCAGGATATTCCCGTATTTTAGAATTTTAAATTTTCGAAGTGATTATGTAACATTTCTGAGAAACGTCAGAAACGGTCATTTTGGCAGAAAAGCTGACGAAAACAACGAAGATTGTGATAGAAAAACAACAGAGAAAAACAGAAGGCCGTTCCGAGTTGCAACTATTGTGTTGCTACAATAGTTGCAAGGCCAATGTAGACAACGGTGAAGGGTGGAAGATAGCCTTCCGGATTACGAAGAAGTCAAGATTAACGAGCTTGATTCAGTGGATTCAAGAATCCGGAAGGGTTTCGGAACTGAAACTTTTTTTCTTTTATATAAACTTTTAGCTTCTTGTCATGTCCTGATTTGAATTTAATTAACAACTGGATTCATTTTGATAAGGATGAGAAGATAGGAGTTGGGGGAAAGAGTTGATCCATCTTCGATGGAGATGATGATTTTTATCTACTGAACAAAAACAATAGTAATATAATAAATAGTTGTAGCCCTGTTTTTAGGAGTGACCTCGTGGTCTGGGGATACTGAGACCCAGCCATGAGCTCACTATTCCTGCATGTAATTAAGTTAATTTGAGTGTTTTGACCGAAGCCAAAAGCAGTAACGTTTTTTGTCGACCCGATGTTAGAAAAGACCACCAAAAGTACTGGCTTGGTAGAGACGGTGAAAAGCATATAAAGCTCTGTTTAGACGTTAGCCAGTCGTCTTAGGACTTAGTTTTATTTTCCGTCGATATGTATCTTCCGGGCGAATGTTACAGAGCTTTGTAGAAACTTGAGCTCGTGTATCGAGGAACCCAGGTCAGGTAGTTTTCTTAGAATAGAATCTCCTTCGCAATACAGTTTGCGAACGCTGCCTGTGACCCGGCACTAATAATGATTAAACTATTTTCGATTAAACTTATTATTTATAGAGCCGAGGGAACAAAAGTACAGCTTTGTTTAAGTATAAGGCAGATCTGTAGCCTCATATCAGGTCAATCTTTTTGAGTCTCTTTCAACTCCGATTTATTCTGTGCAGGTGTTAGTTTTCTCAATCTGGTTGGATTGATTCCCAACCATCTGACTCTCTTTACTTCTATCCACGTTATATAAAAAAAGCTCAGTCTGGGCCTAAATTAGCCATTTCTACCGTGTGCCGGAATTTGGCTCTGACGGTTGTACTTCTGTTGTTTCATTAAAGGTTTATGGGTGGTTTTTCATGTGATGTGAAACAGTCTTAAACAATGAAGTTGTTTTGTCGTGTAAGATACTTCCGAAACTTGTCACAGAAAATTTGCTGCAGTTGGCCAAAACTGACCCGGAAGGTTCTGGTTAGTCGTTTACACCAATATTGGTACTTTTATGAATGATTTTTCGAATCAATGGATATCGGTCGAGGTAATGATTTGCTTAATGTCGTCGAGATGTCCAAAAACTGACCTTGAAAGTATTTCTTACGTTAGTTAGTGTACGTGTATCAGTTTTCAAGCAAGTTAAATGTAGATGTTTTTAACTTTTCAGAAGCAAGTTTATTGAACCTGGGCCATTGAATCTTACTATAAGTTGCCACTGATGGATGTTCTTTAAATCTTAAAAAGAACTCTTAAATTGGTCTTTGCTCCTCTTTAAGTATGTATGTCATTATGTTTATGTTATGATTATGGATCCTATTCCAAATTAATTTCTCTTCTTGCGAAAGCTCAAGTCACATTTTGCACCATAAAAATTACAGGGGTCGCAATTCGTTTCTAGGTACCCTAGGGGAATATTTAAAGAGATGGGGGGGGGGGGGGGGGGAGGGGAGTAGCCAAAGTTGTGTTTAAGTTGGTGCGTCCTTTAGTGCAGGGTATTTCAATTTGGCGTTTATTTTTCTCAGTTGATATTGCGGCAGCTCAACTATCATAGCTGTTTACCAGGGTTGGAGAAAAACGTTTTTTATTGAAAAAATCAATTAAACAGCGTTTTTTTAATTAAAAAAACACATGTTTTTTTACAGTTTGTTCAGTTCGCGGTAGAGAAATGCAAGTTTGTCACATTTTTCAGCCTCCATTTGGTTTCTTAACTTTCTATACGTCATTCCTGTCGTTGAGAAACATCTTTCCAATCCACCTGAGTTAGGAACGCCAGAAACGAGAGCCAGTGCAACATCAACAAACGCTGTTTCGAAACCTAGCCTCTTTCCCATTTTCCACCATGATAACTGTTTTACACTTTTGAAATCTTGAAAATAACTTTCATTGTACGTTTCTTCTCGAGTCATGTACTTAGTGACCTCTCCCATGGCATTTTCGTCAATTGAGCGGATATAGGCGAGGGCTTTTTTCGTGTAATCAGCGTCTAACTTTATATAGATATGCGGCAAGAAAAACGGGAGTCAGATTGTTTTTGCTACAAAATGTTTCAGATGATCCGGTGCAGCATTATAGAGATCGAGCCAACATTCTTATACGTCATATTATTCAAGCAAACAACCGCATTTTATTAAGGAATGTAGAGCAATTGGGAAGGGCAGGCGACTGCAATTGGGATAGGAAGGGATGGCGCAGGGTTTCGACTCCCTGCCTATACTAGCTTTTTACGATATAAGTTCTAAAATAAAAAAACAGTTTTTTATTTTCTGTTTTAAAACGTGTGTTTTGCCTTGTTTTAAAACATGCTTTGAAACATTCCCAACCCTGCTGTTTACCATCGATCGGTTCTGCTTTTCGAATATTTGATAGGGTTAAATTTCAAGTAAATTCAATCGCAGTTGAAAATAATATAAGCATAACGAGTGAAAAAAAAAACTAGCCGAAGGATAAATCAGCCGAAAATGCGCAGAGTATATGAGCCAGCCGAAATTTACTTCCTATAGTTGAAATTTGAAAGACTTCCGTAACTATTTACACTTGCGAGAGCAAGTGTCTTGTTATCGGGAACTCTTGTCGGACTAATCAGTTTTTTGGCTTAACTGATGTCTGCTGAAAGATTGTCGCCTTCGACTCCGCGTCGTAAGTTGTTCCGTTGATTATTTCTTTATCAAATGTTTTGCTTGGCTTGTTTGCTTCGTCTCAATAAAAATTTATTCTAAGCAAATATACCGAGCATAACGTTTTTTAAAAAAATTAGCTACGGAACAACTTACGACGCGGAATCAGAGCCGACAATCATTCAGCGGACATCAGTTGAGCCAAAAAAGTGATTTTGTAAAAAGAGTTTTCTTATGTCTCAATAAAAGTTCATTCATACAAAAATTTTGGTGGACCTCGTTTTTCAACGTTTTAACATTTTATCAAACATTTATTGACTGCTTTATGTAGTTTTACGTTGTATCGCAAGTGATGCGAAGCTAAGCTTTGCGCCTATATACATAATTTTACAGAACTGTTATGCAATCGTTACGTAATTTTGGCGAGCCTACATGGTAGCTGGTTTATATTTTTGCTCGTGTATATACCACGGTGTCCGTTAATTAATAGGACAGCTGCTTAGACGGAAACCGCTTTGGCAGGACTTTAAGACGACACTACACTCAAATTCTTCAATTGTATTTCTCAATTATATTGTATTTGTCGGCTTATTGTCATGTCATCTTAAATTCTTGTCGTCTTATTTACCTAGCACATATACCACCAGTAATAGCGTCAACATGATTCCGATTTCTCAGAAATGAATGTTAGTGTAACTGTAGCTTAAAACCGGCTTACTCCGCTTACTCTTTGCTTTACTACCAATTTTATTTCGTTTCAGTTGAGCATGGCATCTGACTCAGAGGAAACAAAACTGTGTAAAAATTGCCGAAATGAAATTCCTTGTGCAAGTTTTACTCTACACGAGATTCACTGCTCAAGAAGAGTTCGATTTTGCGGAGACTGTGAAACGGCTGTCAATATTTCTTCCTGGGATGAACATATGGACCAGTTTCATTCGCGTACTCCTTGTGTAAAATGCAAAATTGAAGTTGTGAAAAATCAAATGGAGAGACATCTGCTCGTTGACTGTGCCCATCGAAAAGTTCATTGCGATCAATGCGAATTGGACATGCCATTCAAAGATTTAGCAGCCCACGAAGATTACTGTAAGACAAGAACTGAGTACTGCGAGGCTTGTAAAAAGTACATAAATGTCAGATCGTTGGACAACCATGATTGCAGACTTGATCCTGAACCGGAGAGAAGGCAACTGTCACGAATGGATTCTATGGAGTCGCAGTTTGGTGCTCTGGGAGGATCCGCTTTGTTCGGAACCGATACAGCATCTCTCGATCCTGATACTCGACTGCTTATGAATATGCAACTTCAGGAAATTCAGAAAGCCCGCGCTAGATCTATGCTCCAAAACGGAGCGACCTTCAACGCAACTGACGACTTTGTGCCTTTTGGTCTTTCTTCGCGGGAAACCACCTTTGCAGCTGATGACAGCGATATGCCATGTCCAAATTGCGCCGCTCCTGTTAACATCAAAAGAATGGAAACACACCTTCTCTCTTGCACAAGTTCGGGAGATAACGGCCTGAATGAACAAGAATCGAGGTCAACAGAAATGAATGCTTTTGCGTTTCAAGACGACAGACACGATTCAGATACTGATAGATGTCAATGGTGCTCACAAAATATCCCAACGAGTCAATTTTTGGATCATTTTCGGGACTGTTTTGACGGTCAGTCTCGTAATCCACTGCCTAATACGCAACGACCAATAGTGATATCAGATTCAGATAGTTCAGATTCGGACGTAATGCGTGTCACTGCGCCAGCAGTCGATAAGCAAACAGAAAATGAAAATAAAATTCCATGCGAATTTTGTGACAGGTTAATTGAGTTCCTCGACTTTGAAAACCACATTTTTACCTGTAACAGAGATGCATCGGTCGCTTCTAATGGTGGTTTGCAAGCTCCAGATATTCCCTTGTCTGATGATTCAATCGATGGTCGAATCGCGAGCCATGAACCTGCAACAAACAATGAAGCAAATAATGATTTAATACCCTGTGAGTTCTGCGATCAGAATATTCGAATTGAGCAACTAATGGCCCACCAACTGTCTTGTACACCGCTAGCTACTACTTCTTTTGGAGACGAAGATAGTCCTCGAATGTGCGTGGATGACAGTTTCAACTCAGAAACGGCGTCCCCGATGCGTCCACAACATCCTTATGGACGGGATACTTCAGATAGAGCTGCTTCTGGTAGCACCGCTTTCGCAGACTTGGAAAGAAAGTATGGACTTTCATCTCAGTATGACTATAGTCGCGATGTTACCGAGCAACTGAGAACCAAAATAGGCAGTGGTTCTGGCGATAGCTTCTGCGCTGACCGAAATGAGTCCAACTCTGAGGCACAAAGAAGCCGTGTGTTGAACGGGGCCAGTGGTGCTGCAAGACCATTGGCTTCCAGGCCTGCAGATGCCAAAACATGTGGTGCCAATGGGATAAGGGACAGATATGATACAAAAACGTATGCTACTAATGGAACAAGGGACAGAATTGACCCTTCATCAAGTACAGAAGCAAATGGATCCAGTAGTAGATATGGTTCCAGCTCACAGAGCAATCAGGGAGGATACAAATCAAGCGGCTCGTTCACGAGGCTGAATGACACCGCCTCTCGAGATCCGCGTAACGGAAGCGACTATCGAGGATCTTCTGAAATAAATGGAACTTCTTCGAGTCGCTACGCGGGCGGATCTAGACCGAAAGCGCCCGTCCCCTCTTCAACCAGAACCACTGCTCCCCATGCCTCTTTTAGGTCCAGTGTAGCCGGAGTTTCGACTGAAAGGGACCGACGGACTAATCTCGTGAGTCATTCAGACAACTTGAGAAGACAGCCCGTCACTCGTGAACGACCCAATGTTTATAAAAGCAACTACTCGAGCGGCCAAGAGAAAGAACAATAGACTTTAATGACTCAAATTGGCGAAGGAAGTTTACAAAAGGGGAACTCGTTAACTATTTCTCCCCTATCGTACCTTGTAAAGAATCCCCCTCTCTAAAAAGAACTAATTAAACAGTTAGGCATATGCGAACTTTGTACCTAGTACCGAATCGACGCGTTTGCAAACGGGTTGGAAATATTTAATGAGATCTACAGGAAGTTGAAAAATTAGTGCATTATCGATATATTCGAAATTCATTGTCGAAAAAACTCGGTCGAAATATTTTCAGGGCCTTATTAAAATTACATATTTGCGATTTTGAAACTTTTTACAAGTTGTTAGTGATCTTGTCGATAACCCTCCCCTATGCTGCCTAATAATGAGTATCCCCCCTCACCCCTAGTGATAGAGTTGAATTGTTAAGCATAAAAGAATATTGAAGTTAATGAAGAATTTCTCCTTTTTAAAGTATGGTGGGTTGTGTGAGGTTTGTAATGCTTTCGGTGCAAGATCAGCTGTCGGTAGTATTTTCTTGAAATTTGCCACGAAAACATTTATCAGCGTTGATTAATTAAAATTAATAATTGAACTTTCTAGCAAATTGTTTAGTTATCGACCCTTTGTTCACCCATTTTTTTTCTGAATTTGTTTCGTGATTTTGTGTATATCTGAGAAATCTAACCCGACGATCTTAGCGGAGCGTTTCTCTCAATTTAGTTGTAAATCTTAGCTCTATCTTTTGAATTGATTAGTTAAACAAGTTTTCCGTATTTCTGTGGAAAGCTTTAGCCATGCTAATTTGTGTCAACTCATTATTTGATTAATTTAGAATAGTTATTAACGTTTTTCTAGTGAATAAATAAAGGCTGATTTAGTTTTAAAGAACCTAGTGAATTTTCCCACAGTATGTAGGTCTTGTCCTTAAGAAACTAGAATGAATGTCTTTGAATTACAATCTCCTATAACAGAAGTTGAAGTAGCGCTAAAAAATGGAGTTCCAAATTTAGTTCTTGTGTCTTGTGTGGTTCTTTAGGATAACAATTCCTTACTGAACTTTTTTTCACAAATTGGTTTTGTTTAAGTGCCATGATGAACGTTTTTTTTTGTTGTTTTTTTGGATCAATTGAATAATCTCATTTACCCTCACTCCCTTCTCCTCCTCCCCCCCCCCCTCCCCCTCCCTCATTCCTGTGAGAGGGCGAGGGGGTATAGCTCAATAGATACTTGAGGCCTGTTTATAACTACTTGAACTACTTAAATCTTTATAAAATTATACGCCAGATTCTTAAACAAGCTCGAAGAATTAAAAACCACATAAAAACTTACTAACTAGATTCAAGATTAATAAATAGCGAAACTAGTCGCATATTATACAGGCGTTTTCCTGTTTTGAATGAAGATAAATGTGCAGTTGCATACATAATTAGGATGCTGTTGGCTTTTTTGGCATAAGTAGAGGTCAGAGCAACGACCCTGAATTTGCTCACTTCGAAGCAATGATCGCCCAAAATAAAAACGGGAAAGAATTGAAAAAAAAAAATTTTTTAATCGACACTTGAAATAAAAGCTTCAGTCGGCCAATTGATCACAAACTATTCACGCTTTAACCAACTCTCGCGTTTGAAAACGTTTTTTATAGTGTTATGCCGATTCTCACTAGGGGAGATAGCTCAATTGCTTGTTAGGGGGGGGGGGTTGAGATTGCTCATGTCCTTGGTTAATTGGAATGGAAACTCCACTTAATGGTTTTCGGCAGTTCGAGTTTTTTTTCCTTATTTAGTTTTTTTTGTCGATTGTATCGCAATTGGTACAAAGCTTCGTTTCGCCTCTGTGTTCATAATAGCTGTTTTCGTGCCCGAAGTAAAAGTGTATTGTGAAATTTATTTCATAAGAATAAACGTACTATCAGTGTAATTGCTCGGCTTCTTGTTCGCCAAATGGTGTTTTCTTACGCTTGCGATTAGCAAGCGTTATCAAATCGCAATATAGATTTTTTTCGTGTACACAACTTGCTTAACAGAATCATTTGGTATCTTGGTTCATAGGGATTTCAAATTTCTAGGCCTCTCCGTTACACTTAGTCTGAAGGCAACGAATACGCCTGGGACGACAAAGGTCCTGGTTTCGAATCTGACCAGGACCGCCACATCTTAGATTTTTTTTGCTGTATGCAGTTTTCATTAAATGCTTTTTATGTTTTCATTTACTCCTGCAATTTGTAATTCTACTAGCCTTGATTTTCGTATATTTTCCTTTTTTGAATTTTTCGAATAAACTTCAGTTTATATTTTATTGGCTTACTCAATTAATTTTGGGTCGTTCGAGGGAACCATAGTTTGTATGCTTTCTTCCAGATCGCAAAACATTAAAAATCTCACAATAGAATGTATAGTTCAAAGTTTTTCATGCCAACAATCTATTATATATTTAAATGCGGGCTTCACTATCTCGCCATGTTTAAGCTTTTTCAACGTATTATTTTTGCATGTTTAAGCTATATCGTATATTGCAATGGTTAAGAATTTTTTTTTTCGATTTTCCAATTTGATTTTAGTGGTTATTTTAACAAGTTTGAATTAAGCAGCCCAATATTGAATTAGGGGTTGCGAATTTGGCCTCCAATTTTGAATGCCGGAATCATTTTCATTTTAGCTAACGAGATAAGACGATTTTTGAGGTTTTTTCAAAAAATAACTGAAATTTCAAATGACAAAATAATTTAAAAAACTTGAAGTTCACAACCCTGTAGTTGGGCGCTGTCAGAGTAATCTAAGGAGTTACAAATCTTGCCTCCAAATATAACTGTTCAAATCCTTGTAGTTTTCGAGATATGAAGTTTTTTGTGATTTTTTCAGAAAATTTTCAGAAAACTTAAATTATTATTATTTTTTTAAAATCTGAAATTCCCAACCCTGAAGTTGGGTACTGTCAGAGTACTATCAAGGATCGGGAATCTTGCCTCCAAATATGATCGCTCAAATCCTTGTAGTTTTCGAGATATGATGTTTTTTGTGATTTTTTCAAAAATTTTCAGAAAACTTAAATTATTATTATTTTTTTAAAACTTGAAAATCCCAACCCTGTAGTTGGGTCCTGTCAGAGTAATCTCAAAGATTGCTACTCTTGCCTCCAAATATGATTGCTCAATTTTTTTGTAGTTTTCGGGATATGACGTTTTTTGTGATTTTTTCAAAAATTTTCAGAAAACTTAAATTACTATTATTCTTTTAACTTCTGAAATTCCTAAACCTGTAGTTAGGTCCTGTCAGAGTAATCTCAAGAATTGCGAATCTTGCCTCCAAATATGACTGCCCAATTCTTTGTAGTTTTCGAGATGTGACGTTTTTTGTGATTTTTTCAAAATTTTCAGATAATTTTTTTTCGAAATTTGAAATTACCAACGCTATAGTTCGGTGTTGTCAGGGTACTCTAAAGAGTTGCAAATCTTGCCACATGCGAATGATAAACGCGACTGCTCAAATGCTTTTAGTTTCCGAGATGTGACGTTTTTTGAATTTTTCAAAATTTCTCAAAGAACTTATCTACAAAGAATTTCAAAAAATTTGAAACTACCAGCTTGATGAAAATACAACCTTATTGTCAGCGTACACCCAGGCGTCTCAAATCTTGCCTCTTAATATGAATGCTCAAATCCTTTTGGTTTCCGAGATAAGACGTTTTTTTTTTAAATTTTTTTTTCCGGAAACTTAGGTTTAAAAAAGTTTGGATTCCTTACCCTATAGTAGGGTGCTCTCAGGGACTCTCAGTGGTTGCAAATCTGGCCTCGAAATTTCTCCAGAGGCCCATTAAGTTTTTGAGATGACGCTTTTAAAATGGGAATTAAAAAAGTTTGTAATTGGGTGCAGTCAGAGTACACTAAAAGTTTGCAGATGTTGTTTCCGGTTTTTGCTGAGTTGTCGAAAAATTTCGAAGCACCGAAGGCGCGTTAAACGCTAGTTTTATTGAAATTCGATTAAACGCCGTTGAATGTGTTTTTGGACGTGTTTCCCGCTAATAGAACATCATTCCAGGCAACATTTTGAAGTTTTTCTTAGTTGTGGTTTCTTTGAAAATGTTTCCGTTTTTTGGACTTTGTGGCTCTCTTTTCCTTTCCTGCCTGCTAGCTTGCAATGCTATTTTCGTGGTATAGCAAGTGATGCGAAGTTCCGCTTCGCCTCTGTGTTTAAAAAAATCATGTTCGAAATTGAAACTTTGATAGTTTTTTAATTAAGTTTTCAGCTGGCTTTAGTTTTACCGAAGAGTTTCGTCGTGACCATTTTTCAAGTCTTTCACAGTATAGTTATAAGCAAAATAATAAGTAAAATTTGCCGAAAACGCCATGGTCTCGATGTAAGAAAGTTCGCTGCCAAACGCAATTTTTGTTTACACAAGATGTTACTGTTACACTTACTGCTACTGTCTAGCTGAAGTTATGATTTCGCCAGAACGTCCAAGCTCTACGAAGGTCACTCGTAGTAAACAATTCTGTAGAAAGCTTCTTCATTACCCTTGTTTTCAGCAAGAATGTTGCAACCGATTCTAATTGTAGTCCCTCTTCAGAGGTTTTGTTACAGAAGGTATTCTGAATTCATGTTGCAGGGTAGTGGTGAAAATCTTATTAATCCAGAATATGATGCAACTTGCGAGTCTGGTGTATCAAGGTTTCAACTTACCATGTTCAATTTATTCTATACCATTTTGGCCATGTTTCAAGCTTACCTTAGGTCAAATTGTTTTATTCTTCGATGTGCTAATTTAATGCAGAGCTTCAAGTTTGTAACTAGTATCTGCCAATTACACTTAGGACTAGAAATTAAAAATCAATTGGGTCCCAACTTCAAGTTAATTGTATTAAAGACGCAACTCCGCTGTTTGCTGAAAATATTGTACATTTTCACAATTCACTTGCAATCTACCGTTTTGACAGTTTCAAGTCATGATAAACACTGTTGGATTCTGGCTTATTCGTTATTATCCTAGCAAAAAGCAAGGGTATTGCAACCGAGTATTTGACTTTTTTCCCCTGTAAATAACATTGTTCACAGAATTCGCACGAGTTTCATTTGTCCATTAATAATTCAAACTCAAGAGGCTTTCTGCGCATTTGGCCAAGTGGTAAAACTACTTCTGGAGGCCACAAGTTTGAGAGTTTGATTCCAGTCGGGACCTGTTTCTTTTTGTAAATTGAAAATTTTTGGCTAATTTTTTAGACCATCTGCTTGTTTTTGTCTGCTTTCTTTCTTCGGAAAGGACTTTTTCGAAGCTTTGGCTTCTTTCTACCATTCGATAAGCTCCTTTTCTAATGATCCAGGTAATATAGTTCATTTTTGCAAATTGTTTTATTCTTCGATTATCAGCTTATTCTTCGATTTTGTTTTATTCTTTGATTTTCCTCTAAATTTTTTGGCAAGAGTTTTTGCAACAAAAATTATAGATAACTTCTTAGCGCCTGTCAATACGCAATCGCTGGACTCGCAGAGATGCGAAATTAGATCCAAAAATGAAGCAATTCTTAGAAGTTTCCAAGATACCATATCAAGTGCTTCTACCATCGTCGAAAATGTTTTTTTTATAAGTACAATTCGCTTATGATGGCCACATTGCCTCTAAGCCATCTGATCAGTGCAGAAATATGATTAAGCGTAAAATTAATCCAAAAAAGAAACAAACTGTTCAGAAAATCTTGTTATAAAATCGAAGTTTTGTTTAAAAAATATATGAAAATCGAAGAACATTTTGGAGCCCAAATACATTTTAAATTATAAATGGATTTTAAAATGGTGAAAACATTGAGCCGTGAAAATTCCCAGTTAGGGGATTGAGCTGGCAAAAGATAAGCAGACACGCAATTGTCCGAATACTAGATTTTTTAAAGTCTGGTCTTTCCCGGATTCCCTGAAATAGGCTGCTTTTGTCGTCCCCAGAATGATAACCTCGGCGCCAAATAAGCAGAATCGGTTATTTAAATTTTCAGAAGGCAATTTGACCATCATAAGCGAATTGTGCTAAAAAAAGTAAGTTTTAGTAAATAATAGTAGCTGAACGTAGTTCAGACTCTTATATAGGTCGCGATGATTTTTTTCAGGAAGTCTTAAAATTTGTTCAGGCCCAAATTTACTTTTTTTGTGGCTTGTTTTTTGACTTCTTTTAAGTTCAGTTTATTTACTTTGCTAAAAGGATCGAAAATGGGATTTAATTTTCAGAGTTTCCAGCGAAATAAAAATTTTATATATTGGTCCAGTTTTCTCAAATAGGGCTAATTTTATCAAAAGAGTGCAAATCATGAATTGTTCTAGAAATTCAAAGAGCTTTAAAGGGCATCCATTTTATTCCTATGAAATTTGCAAGTTGAGATTCTGTTGGTTTTGTTTTCTATGTCATAATCCAGGCCGGCTTTCACAAGCTCATGCAAGAGATTTTGCAAGCCGCCTTTCTACTTTACAAGAAGCACAGTATCTTCTGCATACAGTGGCCTGTTAACCACGTCGCTTCCTTGCATGTAATAGCCTGGTCAGCATGTGTTAAAATAAGGCGATAGTTTACAACCTTGTCCAATTCCTCGTTTGATATGAATTTCATTTGCGATCGACTTGTCAGCTTTCATGACTGCTTTTTGTTACTAAGGAAATTTGGTTATATATCCTAAAATTTTCCCATGTGCCCCCTTTTTTCAAGATATCAATAGGGTTCGGTGTGCACTTGGTCAAATGCTTTCACAAAATCAAATTCAATGAAAACAAGTTGAAGGTTTTTCCCTGTTTAAGAAGCTCGTCATGATTGTTTCAAGAGGTGCATTAGCTTTTGTCTCTCGGTTTGGTAAAAAGCCGTTCTGGAGTTTTTGATTTGGTCGTTCAGTATAGGTGCTTATTTTTGCAGTACTTTGATCAGTAAAATTTTTACAACATATGTAATAGTAGCAAATGTTCTGTGTTCTTCGCATTTACAGATTCCTTTTTTCGGCAGCGCAATAAAAAGCGATTCTAAACAGTCGGAGTGAAGTTCCCTGGTTTCATAAGCCTTTTGAACGGTCGTATGCAAACCACAGAACACTGTTGCTCAGGTTCCGCAACGCCTCTATTGACACTTGATCACAGTCAACACTTTTGTTGTTTCACAATCATTTTTGAGCAGCTTGGAACCCCATCACATCATGCTTAGAAAGCAAGTAGTGCTCAGAATGTTACGGCCAGTTTTTCTAAAAAAAACTACCAGTTTTTTCTCAAATTAGTGTTAGTTTTTATTGTTAGTTGCCCGTCGAGCGCGCGCTAAGCCAGCTTGACTCTAGCCTTAGCAACTTCGCTACTTCGGTCGGCCAAAGCCACACGTCTATTGGGGTGAGTTCAGTCCGGTTTTTGGGGCTGTTAGAAAGATGAAGTGTAGTATGCGGACTGAACAGTGAGGACAGTTGATGGGACATTGGGGTCAATTCTTTTGCGGTAAAGTAATTGAAAACAGGCTGTAGTCAGATCTTATCTGCGCTAAAGTTCTTCGTTTTGATCGAGGTTGTGTCGTTTTTTGTGCGTGTGATGAAAGAATCTGAACGGAAGCCGGGAACATAGAAATATTCGATATTTATAGTAAAATAGACATATGGTGCTAGTTTTTTTTCTTCATAAATTGACAATAAAAGCAAAAAAAAAATTAAAGTTAACTTTCTGAAAGTTTTTCAACATTTTTTGCATAGTTTGTTGGATTTTTGAAGCTTTTCGTTTCCGAGATTGCGCTAAAAAACTTCGAAAGCTATTTTACTGCAAAAAATATAAGTTTTCTGTTCTTGAATAATAGTTTCACGGCTTTTCCTTCAATAATAAGGCTGGTGGCTCGTTTTTTTAACTTGAAATTGGACTAAAACAAAAAATATCCAACTGGGGTTCTTTTTCAGCGTCCTAATTACGACTGAAAGGGCTTTAATCTGATGTAACACTTGACCGATTCGGATGATAATTTGTGGTACCTAACTTTTTGTGGAAAAAACTACAACACTCCCGAAGACGAAAGTTCCTCCGCATTTTCAATGGTCGGAACAATTACCAATTCAATTGTTTTCGTGTTATTCGACGACAACTTAAGAGATGAATGTCTGGCGCGATGTTGTTTTTGTGGCAGTTATTGCTTTTCGATTAATTGTTGCTTTATGATGCTGAAGTTTCTATTGAAAAAATTTGTGCAGCAAGCGATGATGGTAATATGATAAGATCCGAGGATTTGTATGCGTCTTGTTATAAACAGACGTTCTTATGATAAAAATTCTTGGCTGAGCTTTATGCGTGGTTGTTAGAATTAGACCGATTCATTTGATTTGTATATTTTAATAGTGTATCTATAGCCGTAAACGTGTACATGTAAAGCATTTTTATTACTCAGAATGAAGCTCTTAATCCTCTTGCTAGTCATTTTTTGACGTTGACGACGTAAAAATGAGTGTTAAATTATTTTATGAGCGTAAAATGCTGAAGTTGGAAGAAACAAACAAGAAAATGTGGCGGGGCGTCAAAGCGCAGCAGACCAATTTAATAGCATCCAGAAAAAGTAACGGAGCAAATCTAACCGCTGTTAATTTTGAAAACTTGAGACGACCGCCTGACACTCGACCACACAAATGACTGGACTGCAAGCACGAGATCTCTGTAATTACCCCCCCCCCCCCCTACTAAGTTACCATAGGAGAGAATTGCCACCCCCTATAAAGGAATAGTTCAATGGTTAAGCATATATGAATTTTGTACCTGGTAACGAATATCCGCTCTTTTACAAAAGAAGGGGGGAAATAGTTTCTTAAAGATTTTCCTTTGCCTGTTAGAGGTATTGTTTGCCCCTTATACTAAAATTTAATTAATGAGATTGTCTCAGATTAAATTTTTTTGTCCATTACAGATGGTAAGTACATCAGAAATTCAGATCCAGGTCGTCCAGAAAAAAATGGGTGAAATCCAATGAATCAGATTACCCGATTCTTTGATAAGCAAATTTTTAACCTTTACGTAAATTGAAAATAAAGTGATCACAGTCGATGTTTTTTGACCAAAGTTCAGAACTTTATAGTTTAATCTGTGTTTTGTCTGCTTTTGGTGTGTAAGTGTCAAAAACATTTTCAATTAACATTTGATAGCATTGGAGGATTTCAAAAGCAATAAAAATTTCGTTTTGCGTTGATCAGATTAATGAACTGAATATTTCCTTGTTTGACATGTAGTTTTCAGTTTTTCATGCATGCTGTATTGTAAGTTGAAAATTATCGAGGCAAGCGGCTAAAAATCATCGAGAACAGGTTGTGAAAAGGTATAATAAACAGTTATTTGGTATGAAAACTAACAAACTAAACTAACAAATAATCTCATTATTGAATTTTTTTTAAAAAAACAGAGCATTGTAACTACAATCTGCAAGCATAATAGTTCATGAAGCTTCAGATCTTTTTCCGAAGCATGGAAAATTGTGTTTGTTTGTTAGTGAAGATGATATTTCATAGCATCAAGTGCATTTAATTCCTTGTGGAGCAAATCGACCTCTTGATGTAACAATAAATCTTTGTGATTGTAACCACCGTGTCCGTAGGGGTTACTGGGTTCGTAGCTTGGGTAATATTTAGAATGAAATGTAGGGTAATGAGGAGGATGAGGATGAGGAGGAATCGTGACTTTGGGAAGCGTCGTGGCCAATCTCTCTCTGAGTTTAATGTCATGTTTGATCTGTTCCAGCTGTTTTTGGACGTCTCTCAGCTGGTTTTGCTTCTCTGTCTGTTCGTGCTGGTAGTGTTTTTGGCTCTGCATAGATTTGATCTGCTGCTTCTGTGAGGATACTTTGTCCTCTAACTTGCGATATTTTTCTTCCAGTTCGTCGTATTTTCTCTGCATGTCGCGTTGCGTCTGCATCAAAAGCGGCTCCATAAACTGTCCGTTGAACACAGACCTTAAACAAGAGCATCGTATACAGTAAAGAACGAAGTGAACAAAGAGTTAACGAAGTGAACTTCATCCAAAGGTAAGTCTCATAGACTCCTATTTGGTACAGCGGAAATTTAATGTGATAATTTACGCGAACCCCTTCTGAAATTAATTTGTGGTACCCTATATTCGCTTTTCCAGCCCCGAAAATGTTTTAGATTTACGAAAGCAAATGTCTTGTAATCTAATCGGGAACTAGATTTTTTTCCCGTAAACAACTTTATGATTGAATCCTAATAAATTTCAGGTTCCTTTGCACTTGGCCTAGAGTTAACGAAGTCGCCTTTGCACACTAAGTTTCTGGGTTCGACACCCGGCCGGACTTACTTTTTTTTCAGTATGTACGCAACTGAATTTTTTCCGGACTTTCGTTTATCTGCTCAAGTTTTGTCGGCTTAGTTGACATATCACGGATTTTCCTTGTGCTGTAAGCAATTTTCATGATAATTGCTAGTATTGTTCATTGTAATTTCAGAGGACTTGAAAATCTGTTTTTTTTAGATATAAAACAATTTTTTTCGGAGCAACTAGTGTCTGCTCAAATATTGTTGGCTTTGTTTCCGCTCCATGAGTTTTGTTCAGTTGCTAATTTTAAAATCAACTGTCTTGCTTGGCATATTTGGCTAGACTTCCTGTTTGATGAAACTGGTCTTATAAAAAAAAGCTTATGCGACTAATCCCAATTTTTTGTACACAAAAACTTATGGCCCTCGGAAAAGTCAAAGTTTTGATTGTTTAACTTTTTGGCATTTGTCGAGAACTACCTTCTCAAATCTGAATTTATGGATTCAATCGAAATAACAGGTTGCGTGAATCTCTTCGCATAAGCCGCTACGCCCAATTTTTTTTATACAATGCTATGATTCTCGGAAGTGTCAAATTTTTCATTTGTTGAACGTTTTTTGCTGACTTTTTCTCGGTCACTATCCTTCCAAATCTGTTTTCATAGGTTTAATCGAAACAACAGCTTCTTGAAAGCCTATTTTTATAGTTGGCTACGACCACTTTGAAATTTAAACCGTTTTTGGTTTTTTTTACTTAACTCGAAAACTACCGTGTCAACTCTCAGTTTAATTGCAAAACCCGGTTTTGGGAAGTTTCTTTACTTAAGCGGCAGCAACCTGATTTTTCAAAAAAAATGACGAATGCCTAATTTTTTCTAAGAAAAATATCTTGTCCTTGGGAAAATTCAATATCTAACAAATTTAAACTCTTCTCACTTATTTTAGTCGAGAAACAAGTCAGGTTTTTGGACAAATTCGTTTTTTTAATTACGTTTTTCATCCAGCATCAATATAACGAATACAAAAATATCAAACATGTACCTCCAGCTTTAGCTGGGCGAGTAGTTGTATTTTATCCAGACAAACGAAAATGTTGGTTCACCTAAATTTTTTTTTTCAATTTTTTTTATGTTTGTGTTGTGTCGCAATTAATCTGTGTTAAATTGCTCAGATGTCTGAAAGGCACAATCACGGCCCTTCTCAAAGAAGCGAATAGATGTGTGAAGTCAATTTAAAAGAGGAAACTATCAGAATGACTTTTATGGCTAGCATGTCAAATTCTGACTAAATTTGGCCTATTTTGTAATAAAAAAACGCCTCAGTTGAAAATTCGTGTGATTGTTTGATTTTTATGTTCTTCAAAAACATTTAAAGCGGTGTTAAACTCTGTTTTCTTTCTTAAACTTTTTTGTGCGTGTTTAAGAAAAGTACAAAAAAAGCAATAAAAACTAATCACCGAAGATTTCACACTTCAAAATGCGTTCAATCTTACGTCATGATCTCGGGTGAAGACGGTATCTCCGGAATCGGCAGTCGAGGAACCTTCACCAATTGGCCTCCTCTTGACCCCAGTTGCCCACCCCCTCTGGAATCGGGATGACCTCGACTGTTGTTGTTGTATCCTGACCTCTGACTCCCTTGAGGTGTGTTCACACCTGAATTCTGCCCGCTTCGTTGGTTCAACGACCTCAAGAGTCTGTTGTTCTCCTCAAGTTGGTCTCGCAATTCAGATAGTGCGGGATCTGTAGCCGGAGATGTGGGCACTATTCGACGCCTGCTCGTTGTTCGTCGAGGCGTGAACAGATAGTAGTCGTAATTCGGATCCAGGTTAGAAAGATGGGGGATTGACTGGTACATAATTGTAAATCCAGTAGCAATGCGTCGCGAATTTATGAACAATTTGGTTGATCAGTGTTGCTCAAAGCTGTAAATTGAGATTGCACGCGCAGTTCAACAGAGGCTGGGTTTGAATATTTGTCTGAAGTGTACTGAAAAATAGAGCCTTTCTTGTAATAACTTTCTCATACCTGATCAAACGAGTGGCTTCTGGTTCATAAATTTTTACTACAAACAAAGATTGCATTTATTAAGTCGCGTATCACACTTGATTAATTTAAAATCATTGATGTAAATTGAAGATTCGTTTGATATTTGTTCTATCGTTGACGGCTCTTTTTATTTACGACCGAAAAAATCCACAAATGTTTGTGAAAGTTGTTTGGGTTGAGGTAATAAATTGGTGTAATAATTAAAAATACTTCATGATTGAGTTTTTCATTTTTGAACACTCATCGAATCATTTTCAAGCAGTGTTCAATGATAGGTCGGCAGCAGACTAATTTTAATACCAATTTTTGCTGTTACTGATATGATTTGATGGTTTGCGAACAGTAATAAGACAGCCTCCTTTTCATACTAGACAGTAAGCAGACAATTTTGACAAGACAAGAATTCTGATTGGTTGATACAGAATATGCTTTGTTGTTTTGGATTATTAATTCAAAATTAATTGAATTGAACTTCATTTAAACTAGTATTACCCAAATTGAGTTGATTTTGATATAAGTTTATGAAAAAAATAATTTGCTCAAAATATGGTTTAATAGTTTTGCAAACCGAGCATGACAAATGGTTTTGGAGATTTTTTTCGGATTACTGGCCTCTGTTAACTAAATTTTATGCTCACCGCCCTGCCTCTAGACCAAATCGTCTGCTTAATGACCTGTCTTTCAACTGAGTTGTCTGCTTTCTGCTATGTATTCGATACCATGATATGATTATACTGCTAAAAATGGTGGTTTTAATTGTTATGTAAAGTGTGGTAATATACTTTTTGGTAAGTATTTTCACTCTTTGTGGTAACTTGTTATTCACTTTGCTGTCATGAAAACAGTTTTGAGGGCATCAGAAAAGTAGCCAAAGCTACTCAACTCGTCAAATTTGAGTTACACTGACATGAAAATGTTGTTATAGCTGTAGTTTTCGCTTCGAAGTTTTTTATGACATTTTGAAGTACCGCTGATTTTGATAGCTCAGCAAAATTAAAGATGGTTATTCGAAGCACTTTACTGCAAAACAATAAGAACATGATATCAGCAGCTGCAAAATCTTTGTTTGTAGGTGTATCTATGGCCTATCGCTTTCTTTCAATTTTTGTTTGTTGTTCGCAGTGCCGTGTTAACAAAATTTTTTATTGCCACTTGATTTAAAGTGAGCAAATGAGTGCAATAAAATTACCAATTTGTGACTTCAACTCAAAGTTCGAAGATTATCTTGTAGAAACATCCAAAATATATTTAGTTTTGTCACAACATAGTAATGCGGTTTTTGTTTTTCTTTAATTTTCTGCCCGCTCTACAGTTTCATTGGAAGTATATCCATTTTAATGATTAATATTGGCAAAATTCAAATTATGTAATCGGTTTTGATGACCCATTTAACCATGAGAATTGATTTTGAGGGGTTTTTATTATCGATTATATAATCGATTATGATCCATTTTCGGTTTCAATTTAAGCCAAAAAACAGAAAAAAGATTGATTATTTTTTATATATTTTTTGGGATCTTGTTAACTATTTTTTATTTCCCCTCTTTTTCGATTTTCAGAAATTCAACTTTGGCTGTCACATTTTCAATAGCTTGAGATAATTTTCAGAAAATATTTTTAACTAAAAATTGTTATGTAGGTACTCTATAAAAAGTAGCTAATACAAATATGAACGCGCGAAAATAAAAACCCAATTAATTTTTGACATTTTTGAAATGCATATTTTAAACAGAAATGTATGTCATAAAAAATGCATGCATAGGGGGGGGGGGGGTTAACAAGGTCTAAAAGGGGGGTAGTTAACAAGATCCTTTTTTTTGTATATATGATAATGAAAACCTAATTTAAACAGTTTTGATCCGTGAAACCCCAGCGCGGTTTTAAATTGGATCTTGTTAACTATTTCCACCCTATAGTACTCCCCCACTCCCCCTTTATAAAATCCCACTCCCCCTTTATAAAATACCACTCCCCCTTTATAAAATCCCACTCCCCCTTTATAAAATCCCACTCCCCCTTTATAAAATCCCACTCCCCCTTTATAAAATCCCACTCCCCCTTTATAAAATCCCACTCCCCCTTTATAAAATCCCACTCCCCCTTTATAAAATCCCACTCCCCCTTTATAAAATCCCACTCCCCCTTTATAAAATCCCACTCCCCCTTTATAAAATCCCACTCCCCCTTTATAAAATCCCACTCCCCCTTTATAAAATCCCACTCCCCCTTTATAAAATCCCACTCCCCCTTTATAAAATCCCACTCCCCCTTTATAAAATCCCACTCCCCCTTTATAAAATCCCACTCCCCCTTTATAAAATCCCACTCCCCCTTTATAAAATCCCACTCCCCCTTTATAAAATCCCACTCCCCCTTTATAAAATCCCACTCCCCCTTTATAAAATCCCACTCCCCCTTTATAAAATCCCACTCCCCCTTTATAAAATCCCACTCCCCCTTTATAAAATCCCACTCCCCCTTTATAAAATCCCACTCCCCCTTTATAAAATCCCACTCCCCCTTTATAAAATCCCACTCCCCCTTTATAAAATCCCACTCCCCCTTTATAAAATCCCACTCCCCCTTTATAAAATCCCACTCCCCCTTTATAAAATCCCACTCCCCCTTTATAAAATCCCACTCCCCCTTTATAAAATCCCACTCCCCCTTTATAAAATCCCACTCCCCCTTTATAAAATCCCACTCCCCCTTTATAAAATCCCACTCCCCCTTTATAAAATCCCACTCCCCCTTTATAAAATCCCACTCCCCCTTTATAAAATCCCACTCCCCCTTTATAAAATCCCACTCCCTCCCCCTTTATAAAAAAAGAATTGAAAAATTAAGCTGATTCGAATTGCAATAGGGGGGATAGCCCACAAGATCCTTAAAATTTTATCGATTTCAGTGATCCGACCACGTCATGAGATTTGGCGTTGGGCAATTGTTTGTTCGTAATTAATTTTCCTCTAGAAAGCGCGATGTATTCCCGTCATTGGGATTCAACGAAAAAGCAAAAACACTAAATTTGCTTTGATGAAGACTGGCGTGAATTTTATAATGTTGCAGGATATTCTACGTGGACGATTGCAAAAAACTGTAGGGAACGAAATCCTATTTTCTAATAGTATTTCTAAGATTTTTGCGGTCACAATAATCGGTACTATTGCTTGGCAAGGATTGTATATATTTCTTCTTGTACGTGTTGTTCTTTCGTCTGCATTCTTTCTGCCTCTTGTTTTTAGTTTTCATTCTCAAAACTGAAAAAATCCTGGGTTTCTCTACTAATTCCGCCCCAAGTTTGTTTTTGATATCTTTGAACTGAGTTTTTGTGCTTAAATTTGGTTATTTGAAGGTAAAAAACCCAACAAGATTTAAGTGGACGTTTGAAATACTCTATTTACAATTTCAACCAACGCATCAGACGAATTAACCAAAAAAAAACTAGTTTTTGTTTCAAATTTTAAAAGTTAACTCAATTTAAACAAATCAGTTTAAATGTGGGCAAATCATTTATTGAAGAGGACTGATATGATATGTTGTACAAATTGTGATGTCTTTTGTTTTTGATATCTTTGAACTGAGTTTTTGTGCTTAAATTTGTTTATTTGAAGGTGAAAAACCCAACAAGATTTAAGTGGACGTTTGAAATACTCTATTTACAATTTCAACCAACACATCAGACGAATTAACCAAAAAAAACTAGTTTTTGTTTCAAATTTTAAAAGTTTACTCAATTTAAACAAATCAGTTTAAATGTGGGCAAATCATTTATTGAAGAGGACTGATATAATATGTTGTACAAATTGTGATGTCTTTTGTTTTTGATATCTTTGAACTGAGTTTTTGTGATTGATTTTGGTTATTTGAAAGTGAAAAAGCCAACAAGATTTAAGTGGCCGTTTGAAATACTCTGTTTACAATTTCAACCAACACATCAGACGAATTAACCAAAAAAAACTAGTTTTTTTCACATTTTAAAAGTTTACTCAATTTAAACACAAATCAGGTTTAAAGTGGGCCAATCATTAATTAAAGAATGCTGATGTAATAAGTTGTATAAATTGTGAAGTAGCTTATCTTAAAAAATGCCCAACTTTTGATTATTTCACGCTTTTCAACAGGCTAATTGTTCTGTTGAATTTTGCTAGATTAAAAACTGTTTGCATTCCTTTGAAAATCGTTCCCGTTAATTTTTTTACTTCGATCGATTAGCTCTAGTTTTTTTAACAGTTTCAGTTTCTCTCCTTTTTGCTGTACATCTGCATATACTTACTTCAAAGAGTTATTGTTTTTTAATTAGCCTTGCGATCAGCAAGTGTTATCAATCCGGAACATAGACCTTGTTTCCTGGGAAACAATTTGTCTGACAGAACCATTTCGACTTAATTTTAAATTAAACTTATACATTTTTTGCGGCTCATTCAGCATAGCCGTAATGTCTATGGTTGGACTGAAGAAGGGAATGAGATCAAATCCGACCAGGACTTGTTTCTTCGGCACAAGGCGTTTTTTTGTAATTTGAGTAATTTACGCTCTAATCAAAACATCTGCGATTTGTTCCTGTTACTTTATGTTTACCAAAGATATGTTTAAAAAAATTCTTTTTTTAGTTCAATTTTTTTGCTTAAAAGTTTCATTTGACTGAAATGGTTTCGAATTTTACTTTATTGGCCTGCTCAAATATTTTTTCATTGCTTGAGAACAAATAAGATCTTTCTTTCTTCCTTAACTTTTTTTAACACGAGTCATACACTTTACCAGCCTTTTTTCATTAAATGGATTAATTTTTTCGCTTGTTATTATTTATCGTGACCAGATGTTTTAGTCAATCGTTTCTCCAGAGCTCAGATCCTTAACATATGCCATAGTTCGTTCCCACACTTCCGAGCGCCAAAAGATTATACGAGATTCTACGATGTTTTTGTTTTCTGTGTGTTCTTCGCCGTTCCCTTGCAAAATGAATTATTTTTCAAAAAAAACTTCATAAAAAACTTCATAATGAAAGTGGAGTGAACCTTCATCATTGTCATTATAATGGCTAATCAGTATGGATAACAACATTAAATTAGCCGCTTTTGAGAAAACAGTCTAAAATATTTTGTGGCAATAATTATTTTTGACGAACTTATGTTTTTAAATTGTTTAATATTAATATTTGAACAGTTTTTTTTCTCATGGGAGTTCACAGAATTTATATTTAGCAGCAGTGGCACCCCTTACAAATTTTTCAGTTTATCAAATTTAGAATTTTGAAAAACTCGAAGTT